TGCTGCTAGTGCTGTCCGTGAACCGATATCGTCTGCGTGCACGGACGCTCCTTCCTCGTCTTCACCAGACAGGAACCCATGACAAGAGCTGCCAGCATTGCGTGCGCAGTTGCCGCCAAGCCCGATTGCCTCTGTCGCTATCAACAAGCCACCTGTTCACTGCCTCCGTACGGCAGCAGAACAAACTCGCGTCCACTCACTGCACTCGGCGTCGCGAAACAACCACCACCACTCGGACCACCTGCACTGACGCGCTTTGTTACGCGGTAGCAGTCAGGCAGACGTCATTGGGCCGCTCGCTTGGGATAATCTTTGCGCCACTTTGGACTGGACGCCAAACCACACAGAATTAGAACGTGGACCTCTCGCCCTTCTCACTGGTCTCGTCGCTCGCTAGCACCCTGGAACACCGCCTGCAGCCCTCGCATCCGCCAGCGCCTGCTCTGCACGCTAATCTAGAAGATCCGCCCCTGCTGGCCCTCCGCTGTGTCTCCGCCGCGCCCAAACGACCGCATCCTGGCCAACGTCCTGAGCGCCCGCCCGGCAATATCTGCCACCCATCCCGCCACGAGGTGCCTTCCTGACGGTCGAATCAATGTCGAGCCCATGTCACCCCAGCCGGACGCCCAAGCAAATACCTCACCCCCCGCATCGGTGAGGTCGACGGCCAGCCATGGACTGCCCACGCCCGACGCCGAGCACGACCAAGTGACGCCCAAGAGCCTCGCGCAGACGGGCCGTTCACGCACCGCGCCCATTGTCAACGAGAGCAACCTCTGGAAGTCGTCAATTGACCGCCCCCAGCTCGACGAGCGCGACAGCATCTTCGCAACCACGTACCTCGTCTCCGACAGCCCCATCTCCTCCCCGCGGGCCAGCGCACGCAATGTAGATTCTGCCAACGATGCTCCCGAACACAGTCTGGCTGAGATGGCAGCGCCAGCACCTCCCCAGAGGCGATTGATGGATCCGCCCATCATACGCAGGAAGCATTCCACCCTTCCTCCGCCTTCTTCCATCGACCACCAAGCCGTCCTGACTACCCCCTTTAACCCCCGCGCAGCCATTGCTGCCGGCATGACTCTCGACGCCATCCATCACAGTCCTCCGCCCTACATGAGCCCAGTCGACTCGCCCGTACAACACCCCACCACCCCGCCGCGTCCCGAACTCCAATACGAGGCTTTGCTGGAGAGTGAAGAGAGGCGCAGAAACAGGGAGTGGCGTGAAGGGAAGCCTGTGCCATTCAAGGGCAACTTGATTCTGGACCAGCCCGTCATGGACGTGGAAATGGAAAAGAAGATTGAAGCAACGCTTGCCAAGACCGAACAACCCACTTCCGCACGCAGTCGAAAAGCAAGTCACTATCTGCGCGTATTCAAGGATGGCGATCCTACCGAAGAGCCGAAGAAGAAGGACAGCAAGACAAAAGAGCGTCCTTCTGCTGAGAGGACCCTGTCCGCACTTTCAGAAGAAGGCTCAACCGAGACTATCGGCCTCATTGACCAGCTGCGTCGCGCGTCACTAGCTTCCTCCGTCGTACAATCACCTCTAGGCGGTCCTACTGATTCATACTTCGATGCGAAAGCGGCGCCCCGCACCGAGTCAGGCGTTGCCTCTCCACCTCCCAACGGAAGCACGCGACCAGACGCAAGTGCTCAGGACAAGCACAAATTCCCAAGGCGTCTTCTCGAGGACATTCGCGGCTTCGGCAACCTGACTCCTGGTGCGGACCCACGGTCTTCGTTCTCTCGCAGTCTACCCACATCAGCGGTCGAAAAGGTTCACGCGCATGCACCAACTAATGGAGCGACACCTTATGACGAGCCGTCCGATTACTTTCAGGTTAAAGACGGAGGCGATAAAGAACGTACGCCAGGCTCGGAGGAGGATGAAGAATCGGAAAAAGAACAGATCTCTTCGGCTCTCTACTTTCCCCATCGCCGGCTTAAGACAAGTGAGCAGGTCCCTACAGAACCACAGAACCGAGATAGAGAGGTGAATGCTGTCGATAAGAGGGCTTCAACTCACGAGGTTGCGGGGCCGAAAGGGTGGGCCACAGAGAAGGATGTTCAAACTCCACAAGAAGTAGAAATTTCTCTAAAGGCCCAAGATACCAATCAATGCCTTCATGGTGATATCTCCACGGCGACTTCCTTGAAGAAAGACAAAGAGCAGCCGCTGACCGCTCCCGATGCGCTTTCAGCTGAATCTGAGTCTGAGTCGCACGCCGAGTCTACTCAATCAAATCTTGGTTATGAATCTAGTGCGACTGATGACCTAGGAACGACGCCCACTGCGACTTCGCACAAACAGGAAGCTAAGGCCGCTGCGCCTCAGGTGGCTCAGCCGCCGGCCCCACTGGGTGCTGTGGAGCTGAAGCCATACGATCACCAAGTTGGTGGTCACTCTACTGTTTACCGTTTTTCCAGGCGAGCAGTATGCAAACAGCTAAACAATCGAGAAAATGAGTTTTACGAAACAGTGGAGCGGCAGCATCCTGAGCTGTTGGAATTCTTGCCAAGGTACGACCTCTCCCGCTATTGATCGAGGCTGAGACATCAGCGAAGATCATTGCCTTCGCCTCGGTTCTTGATTAGGATATTTGCTAACATTGACATCTAGATACATCGGCGTGTTGAACGTGACCTACCGAAAAGCCCCCAAGAAGAAGAAGGTTGCCAAAGACAAAGCGAAATCTGATGCTGCTCCCACTGCTTCAGCGACGCAGTCGGAAAGCGCGTCAAGACAGGCTTCAAAGGCTCCTGAAGACCGGGGCAATGCGGAACAACCTCGAGTGGTCAGCCACTCGCAGCAGATTATGCCCATCCCCCAGGTCATCTTCGAGAACAACCGGCACATAATCCCAGACAATCTGTTCCGTGTGCCACCACGCTCCACCACCCCAGATCCATGGATGCGCAATGCTTCCTTGTTGCAACAACAACATCGACGAAACCAAAGTGACTATGGTCACATCTCTACGAGCCCAAGTCGGCCCCCACTGCAGCATGCTAGCAGTTGGGGTGTGACGACAATCAACAGAAAGCTACAAGAAGAAGTACTCCGACAGGTTTTTGCACCGCCAACTATTCATCATCGGCCGCGCCATCATCATCACGGAATCTCAGCTCGTAAGACAGGAGGAGACGTTCCGCACAACGTGGCTGGCTCTGCGCCTACGATAAGGAGGAACAGCACAGATGTAGCTGGATTACATCCACCACTCACAGAAGAGTCTACACGGAAACAAGTTCTCAAAGCTGAAGCGCACCGCTTTGCCTCGGAAAGGAGCGCTGATGCTGCCGTTTCCAGCTCCCTTGGCCAGCCAGACACCACCGCCGATGCCCTGAAGCCGCCATCGAACAATCTTCCCCGCCGTCGTCATTCTGGCAGTGGACTTACTAGAAGACCCTTGGGGATAGATACTGTCCAGAGACATAACCTGGAATACTACGAAGAGGATGGCTACGGTGGTGACGCAGAGGAGGAAGTATTTGCTATGGACGAGGATCGCAATGCCATGTCAGGCGCAAAAGATCAGCACCGAGGCCGATCTGTGCAGACATCTGGCGCAACAAATGGGTTTCATTCCCAGAATCCACCAGAGGGCACTATGCTACCAGCCCCTGCCGCACCAAATGGCAACGGCGCCCCACTGAGCGAGGAGCCTTCTAATCCCGAAGAAGCGCAGCAACAACCCGACGAGCGCGTTCAGCACTTCATCCTTCTGGAAGACCTTACCGCAGGCATGTCCAGGCCTTGTGTCTTGGACCTGAAAATGGGCACGCGGCAGTATGGAGTGGAAGCCGATGAGAAGAAACAAAAGTCTCAAAGACGCAAGTGTAAAATGACAACGAGTGCCCAGCTCGGCGTACGTGTTTGCGGCATGCAGATTTGGAACGCCAAAACCCAAAGCTACATCTTTGAAGACAAGTACTTTGGCCGCGACTTGAAGGCTGGCAGAGAGTTCCAGGATGCGCTGAAGCGCTTTTTCTGGGATGGGACAAGTTACAAAGCAGCGACAAGACATATTCCTGTCATACTGGAGAAGATCAGTCAGCTGGAGCGCATGATACGGAATCTTCCAGGCTACCGATTCTACGCAAGCAGCTTACTGATGCTCTACGATCGTGGGGATGGAGAGTCAAAGGAAAAAGACGCGCAACCCTCCCTGCCCAATGGTCTATCGAACCCGAGCAGCGAAGACGTCTCAGTAATACCATCCGGACCCACATCACCTGGCCCGACAACCGCCTCTAAGCCGACACCTAAGCATCTCCCAGAGATCAAGCTCAAGATCGTCGATTTCGCCAACTGCGTCACCGCAGAAGACCCGCTGCCTGACGACTTGCCTTGCCCACCCCAGAATCCTGACGGCATTGATAGAGGCTACCTCCGTGGTCTGCGATCGCTGCGCCTCTACTTCCAGCGCATCTGGCACGATATCAACGAAGAGTGGGTCGAACGAGGCGAGGGCGAAGGTATGGCACGCAACCATCACCATGGCCCTGGCTTAGGTGAGGTCGGCGCGGGCTGGATGGACGATGCCGGTGGCGAAGATACGGGCTATGCCAGCTTCTAAAGAAGAAGTCAAGCAAAATCAGCAGAGCAGAAGTTGGTCCCCCAGACACGTCTTTTCTCTTATTCCCTTTTTGACTGGCGTTTTGAATTTTCATCGGCTTCAGGGCTGCAAGCATGGCGTTTGGGCGCAATCACGGAAAGACAAAGGTAATGAAATTGGTAACTACTCTGGCATGCATCGGCGCATAGCATTTATGGGCGGCAAATCCTTTGCATTGCTTTCTTGTTTGTTCATTCTGGGGTTTATTGGGATGGGGGTGGTGTTTGTGCTTTTGGAGTTGGTTGGGGTTTCTTGTATACTATCATGGAAAGAGTAGGGTAGCGCTAGCCTCATTAATGCAGCATCTTTGAATCATTGTACCTTGCTCTCACGTTCACAATAACCACCTCGTGATTGCATAGCAGAACTCACGGCTCTAAATGCCTTCCTCGCCAATCTCCCCAAAAACAGCCACACCCTTCCTCCCCAACGCCGTCCCCACACCCACAGCCCCCGCCCCTACACTCCTCATCCTCTCAAACCCAGCCTTGTCCTCCACACCACCCACCCCTATAACCACAATCCCCTTCACCTCCTCAGAGCCAGACTGATCCAGCAACCGTCGCAACGTAGCCACATTCCCCAACGCAAGCGGATGCAACGGCGCGCCTGCCAGCCCGCCTATTCCGGTGCCGTTTGCGGAGTTCAAGGCGGGTGTTGGAGTTGCTGGGGCTGAGAGGAGTAAACTCGAACCCAAAGTGTTTACGGCTGTGATGAAAGATATCGGGCTGGGTAGGTAAACGGGTTTCATCTTGTTCTGCCCACTTTCCACCAACACGCCAACCAAACCCTCGAACTGCTCGCCGTACGTATACGGTGGGATTTTGATGCCAACGGGGATCTGCGTTACGCCCCCGCTTTTCGTCAGGCCGACATCAATGGCTACTTTGAGCGCAGCCAGATACTCGCGGAGAGCAGCGGTGTTGTACGCTGGTGGCGTTTTGCCCGGGATGTTCGGGCAGGAGAGGTTGATTTCCATGGCTAGCGGCATTTTGACATTGGACTGCGCGGTGCAGATGAGGCTGTAGCATTGTGCTATCTCCTCCGCACTGCCCGTCACAGACACAACTACTAGCTTGTAACTTTCCCGCCCGTTTGGCGGTACGTCGCCCAAGCTCTCGCTAATCGTCTTCACATATTCTAGATACTCGGATAAGGGGATTGGGGAGTACCCCAGGGTATTCAAACTCCCTGTCGTGCTAGCATCGCCGCCGAGGTCTTTGTTCGGCGTGCTGGTTGCGTGCGTTGAGGGGTTGAAGAAGGTGAATTGGTGGTGAGCAGGATCGTGTGGGAAGCCGTTCAGGAGGGATGTGCGCGTTGTGATGGCGCCTGTGTGTGGACTTGAGTAGAGTTCCTGGAGTTGCTCAAGGGTTGTACACCATGGGTTTGCGGAGTTGAGGAGGGGTGGGGTGATGGGTGGGAGGGGCATTGTTGCGGTTTGTGTGACGGTGATATGGTGTGGTGGTATGGGGGGGGGGGGGGGGGTT